CCCAGGCTGTTTACATGATTTAAGCATTTACAATACAAATAAGATTTATCCAGATTATTTCTTAGGTTTAATTGTTCCTGTTTAATTTTGTGGTGGTGCATTTTGTTCACAGCAGATTGATTTCAAATAAAGGCTCAGAGTAGAAACTGATAACTTCCAGGCATTTACACCTTCTAGTTTTCGGGACATTAAAATACAGAGATGAATCAGACGTTAATCCCTCTGCCTTGCCCCTTCCTCCCCCATCTTCGAGTCGCCCCTGAATTCCTTCCTATTCGACCGTGCCTATGATCACCTACCCCTCCCTCAGGCTCGGTGTCATGCTCCGCCACTGGCAAGCGCTCTGGGATACTATATAAATGCGTGAGGGACGCTATATAAATGCAAGTTGTTGTTGTTAAACCGAGGTCCCGCTTGTATGTTTAGGTGGAATTTAAGATCCTGTGGCACTTCGAAAAGAGAAAGGAGTCCAGGCCAACAATTTCCCCCAAATAATATTTGTCCCTCACTTCATGGCTATTTGTTGGACATTGCTGTGCGCAAAATCGGAGGCACATTTTCCTACAAAATACACAATCTCCCCTTTTGCAATATATCCTGTGAAGCACTTTGAGACATGAATGGCACTATACCAAATGCTAAGATTTTGATACAATACTCATTCTTCATGGCTTGCTCTCAAACAGAGACAACAGTAAACTCCTCACAACTTGTCACTGCAAGAAACAAGGAACTGAGTGATGAGTTCTCCAGAGTGTTGAGTTAGGCATATGTATAAATGCGGGGCCGGGATATTGACAGCATGATGACTTAAGTGGTCGTGACAAGGTCGAGTTATCAGGGGTACTGTCTTGCCATCTCTGCAATAGAGCCTGGCTGCTGGTGCTGAGGGATTGTGATCTATATGAAGAGCAGGCGAGCAGGGATCATTTGTGGGGATATGGGTATGATCAAGTACTGTTACGGGACCTTCTTTCTGGAGATGAAGTAAATGAATTTGAGTCTATGGTAGGCTGGAATATAGATCCCAACGGCCTTTTTTCATTTCAGTCCTGCAGAATCTGCGGAGACACTACTTCGGTGAGCGAGCAGTAAACTTATGGAACAGGCTCCCTAGGGAGACAGACGGTGGAAGCAGAAAATGTCATTTGTTTCAAGAACAAATGAGATCGATTTCCGCTAAAAAATAATATCTCGGGATGCAGTGTATAGTTTGGGACACAACATGTCAAGCGACTGCCAGGATGTTGGAAGGCGAACTAGCTTAGTCTACTTTCGCCCAGCAAGTTCTTAGCTTCTTATGCTTCTTCGTAAGGGCTCCGGGACGCTAGCCCGGACAAAGGGGGGCTGTATAATTGCAAGTTTTCATGATAATTTTGTGACAAATCACTGGAAGACATTTCCCCTTTAAACAGGAGTTGTTTGGAGTTTGAAATTTGAAGTTTTCGGTGAAAGCAAATCACAAACTAATGGAGAGTGTGTCGCGAGCTTATTATTGGCCATCAAATGGTTACAGATTAGTTTGACAGGGAAAGAAATGGTGGCTTGTGGGCAGCATGGTGGCTGTTAAGTTAAGCTTTGTGGTTTTTATTTCTGCGTGTGGCAAATCAATGCTCTTCGCTCCACCACAGGCCTGTTTCTTGATGATCCAAGCAATGACCTCAATTATAAAAGTCCTTATCCCAGAATTAAATAGTGCCCGTAGCAGGCTTCAGATCACAGCAGCAGCATGACTGCAGTGCTAAAATAGCATGGCAACTGCTTAGATTAATGCTGAATTCAGATAGGGTTTGCTTGGCGGCTGCAACTCTGCAAATGGGTGTGTGAGGCAGAAGAGGAAAGTCCGCAATAAGCCTGTTTGACGCTGGAATCGCCTTTATGAGTAGCACTATTAATTCGCTTTAATTAAGCGAATCACTTCTTCCATATCTCATTAATGCAAACTTCAGGGCTTACAAAGAGGTGTTTCTCCTTATCGTCTGCTGTGGCTGTGTTTCCGGAAATGTGGTATATTTCATTTAGGGAGAGACCAGCTTGAATAATGACTACAAGTCAGATATTGGAATCTGGTGGGGGAGAGATAGTGCGCGCGCGTGTGTGTGTGTAGTGTAGTGTGTGATAGTTTTTGAGTTGGAAAGTATAGAAGGAATATTTCAGACTGTGTTTCCAAATTTCAATAGCCAATCCTTTCTGGTAGACACAGAAGAATATCAACCCAAATCCCTGCTGTATGATTACTTCCATGTTTATAAAACAATATGTCTTATCTAAGGTAGGTATTCTGTCTCTTCTGCAATGCTCTTAGCCAGTAGGTCCACCTTACGACAACAGGTTGTTCAAATTAATGATGTAATGATGTAGCACTTGCTTGGAATCGTTTCTTATACTTTGAGAGTACAGCAATCAAACCATCCAACAGTGAGGAGTGACATTCATTATGCCATCTTTGTCAGAGTAAATGAGGAATAAAACTTTCCTTTGTGTGTGTGTGTGTGCGTGTGTGTGTGTGTGTGTGTGAGCTCGCCCGCAAGCAATTATGTATGAAGTGAATCAAAGATAATCAGCAACAGCATAGTCGTAGTGGAATCGATGCAACAAAGATGTTCCATGTATGTATGTATATATGTATGTTGAAAACACACTCAATTCGAATTTGCAAAATAATTTGGTGATTTTTCAAATAATAATAATAAATAGTAATAATATTTACAAAATAATTTGGTAGTTTTTCAAATTGAACTTCGTAAACAAACCATTGATGCTTGTAGGGTTTCATGTGCAAGTTACTAGACACTCATTTGCCTAGAAAGAGAGAAGAGACATCATGAGTTTTATTCATTTAAATGTATGGAAAACATTCCAAGCTCCAGAAATGAAATAATTCCATCTATAACTTTGAATGAAGGGATCAGATTTGTTCACTGCTGAAATCTTTAAATCTATGTCATCCAAGTCGTATTTATTGCTGATGAGATCTTGATTTATTACATAACTATTTTGAATTTGCATATTCCATAAATCCTGACATTAATTCAGTTAAATGGTAATTTTGATTTCCCGAATTAATTAAAGCTGTAGGCAGATTTACATACACCATGATTCCTTTACTTGTACGTATGCACAATTACTGAAGTGCAAAGATATTGGCTTGGTGAGACTAGTATAGTGAGAGATTAATTATTAGCTATAGAAGCAAATATAAGAGCAATATTTCTGCCAAAATTAATTAATTATCGCCCTTTGCAAGCTATGTTTGTTGAAACCTTGGCAAATGTTGGCTTTCAAGTCAAGAAAGTGTCCCAAAGCGCTTCACAAGATATACCGTAAAGTTCAGTGCCTATGTGTTTTGTTAAAACACAGTTATTTCGACGACAAAATGTATAGTCAATCCACTTCACAGTATATCCTGTGAAGCGCTTTGAGATGTCTCAACGACTTGATAAGGCTCTGTATCAAATGCAAGGATTAATATTATCTTATTGTAAATGCCATTCAGAATTAGTGCAAGACTTGATGAAATCACCGGGTCCTCTTTGATATCTTCAACGCTGTTTAAATTTGAATGATTTACAATTCAGATCTGTTATGAACCGCAATCATAATGCAAACACTGATGGCATATTATCGGATGACTCTGAAGGTCCCCTTTGGAAATCTTCTTAATTCTTTTCTTTTTTCTTCTGATAATAAATGAGAGTTCTCACTAGTCCACTGTAAGATAAAAGTTCTTTCCATTAGGTCGTAAAAGAAGATTGAGAATTTCAGTTGATCTGATCCAGGCTGAATCTCGACACGATACAACATGTTCTTTTCAATCAAAGGATATTGCTATATTCTGACAATTAGCTGTAGATCTTACATAATATTGCAGACTTCAGAGAAATTAATTTCTATTAAATTCTACTTGTTACAGAGTATTGACTTCAAAACACTTATTATTTTACAGCTGCAGTTCATTAACATGTAATAATATAATAAATAATAATCCTTGCAGTTGATACAGTGCTTTTCAAGTCAGGAGGATGTATCAAAGTGCTTCACAGAACTTACTGCCACAGCCATGAAGTGAATGGTTCATTTTATCTGGGGTATAGTTGAACAGGATACTGGGAGAAAATCACTTTTCTTTTTAAGTAATGTCATCGGATTCTTAACGTCCATCTCAACAGGCAGACAGGACCTTGGGTTTGTTATCTCATATGAAGAACAGCAGCTGCAGCAATCCTCTTACACCTTAGCACCTCACTACCTCTCTGACCTGCTCATCCCTCGATCTGGTCACAGCCCAAATGCCTACCTCAATCCTTCCAATCTATATTTAAATCCCACCCTAAGACTTATTTCTTCGACCGCACCTATGGTCACCTCCTTTTCCCCAATCTCCCTTGCTCGGCATCCAACCCCATCACTGTATAGGGATCCATTATGTTATCCTGCATTAAGATTGCTACATCAGTGAAAATTGTTAAATATTACTTTATAGAAGTACGTTTGGGGGTGAATTCAAGTTCAGACAAGGATAATGGAATATTATCTCTAAGGTACAATCAGTTGACCGCAGGCTCATCCCAGTTCCAAACTGAAAGCAGATCCACAAGCACAAAAGTAGATTTCCACAAAAGTTGGAACATTTTGATATCAAATTACTGGCATCGATTACAAGAAGACTTGGTGCAAAAATGGTGGATCTATTAGCGAGCAGTAACTGCTATTTTGTAAGATGAAGAGAAAGAAAAGGATTGTTTCAGTCGTGAACCAGCTCAACCACTCCGTAGAACCTCCGAGACTCAGCCCAGCGTGAAGAGTGCTATTTAAATGCAAGCTGTTGTTGTTGTTGTTTCTATAGTGGACCAGTGAACTGGTGTGTGCAAATGACAATGGAGTCTTTGTACTCCATACCAGAGATTTCAGTACTATTTTTTAATCAGTTACTTTGAGGATGTCTGTATTTTATGTGACAAATGTTGAATTCATTGATATTTCAATGTGATTTCTTCCAGAGGTTATTGAACTGAGCCTCCGTGAAGATCAGAAAGTCAGTGTGACCACAGTAACTGTGGGTCTGAGTGCCGTCTTATCTTGTGCCATTCAAGGTAACTTGAGACCACCGATCATCTGGAAACGCAATGGAATCATATTAAACTTCTTGGATCTGGAAGATATTAATGTAAGTGAAATCATCTAATGGGACCATGTTCTGGAATTTAGTTGCCTGTTGTTAAATAATCCTTACATTTGATACAGCGCCTTATCACATCTTCGAGACGTCTCAAAGCGCTTCACAGAATATGCTGTAAAGTGAATTTACTGTATATTTTGTGGGTGAAACGTGCACAGCAGCGTCCCGTAAACAGTCGTGCATTGAAGTGACCAATTTATTATTATTTTTTTAAAAACATTTTGAAGAAATTTCAACACACAGGAAAATACATATTGAAGACTGGGGGAGGTTAAATGATGTATAATTAGAAACACGTACTTACATTTTCAATGCCCTCTGTGATTTTCGGTACAGCACTTGAAAAAGAATTTGAAAAAGATTTAGAGAACAAACATTCCACATCAAATAACTCGAGTCTATGTAGAAACTCGTACAGCTGAACATGTGTTTTTATAAAACGATGGGGTATAGAAAGATACGATTCATATCATTAAATGATTAAGAAGCGCATTTAAGAATTTTTAAAATTCAAACCAAAGAACCGACTGGAAAATGACTTGAATCCTCTGTTTGGAGAGCGTCTTTTCTGGTTTCTGTTTTATTTTAACTCTCTGAAAACCGTTCTTTTCTTTCAGGATTATGTTATCCTCAATAGTAATAATAGCAATCCCAGCATTTGATATATTGTCTTATCGTGTCGTCAAGACATCTAAAGCACGTTACAGTATTTACAGACTATAATCCGCAGGCAAAACTGGTTCCCGATTTGGGCTTAGGAATGTCCCACAAAACAGTGATAAAGTCAATGACATTTGCTTCTGTAAGGACACACAGGACCAGAAATTGTGGAGACAAATGCTGAAAGAGTTCAAGTAAAAACAGAAGTCGCTGAGAACACGCAGCAGGTCAGGCAGCATCTATGGAGAGAGAGGAAAATGAGTTAACGTTTCAGGTTGATGACCTTTCGTCAGAACTGGGGGATGTTGGAAGGGAGCAGATTATAAGGACAAACAGAGAAAAGGGGCGGGGAAAGAAAGGCAAAGGAAAGTTTAGGTGGAGGTCACAAGATGATGAGATCAGAGTTGTTGATGGTGCAAGACAAAAGAAGGCAATAGCGGGAGATTATAGAAAGAAAAGTTGCTGAAAGAGTTAATGTCAGTTTGGGGGGTGGGGGATGGTTTGTGCTGGTTCAGTTCATTTGCTGGTTCATTCTGGGGGAGGTGTAATTTGCTACAGATGGGTGGCAAATGGGTGGCCATTCACAGTCCTCCAATGCAAAGAGTGCCGTGACAGCGTACCTAGTAAATTTTACAAGGTTGTGACATAATAATGATAATCATCGATCCTTACGTTTGGTTTTGTGCCTTTCACATCGGGAGGACGCCCGAAATACCTGCACTTTGAAGTGAGACAAAAGCAGAGTAGACTTGAAGCAGAGTGGTGAAAGTTGGGGTCTGTCACAGAGTTAGGTCTGAGGAGGTGTAAACGCAACAATTTATTAGACTCAATGAGCGGAGGAAGAGCTGATGTCCATTTTGTGCATGATTTGAGGCAAAGAAGTCCAGGACCTCTTCGCACTTGGCATTTGATGTGAGGAGGGAGTGGGCTTGAGGGGGTGCACGGAGAAAGGTGATGGACAGTGAAAAACAGCGTCTTTGTTTGCCTCCAGCATGACTATTCCTGTGACGTGGGAGATTTTTGCCTCTTCGAGGACTGGGAGCAGATCAACACATATGTGAAGCGTGCTCAAATGCAGGCGCTCAAACTCAAAATGTTGCTGAGCTTCAGGAGCAGTTGGGAACACTCCCATCACATCCGAGCCATTCCAGAAATGAAAGCACCATCAGAAATGGATCACTCTCAACCCAAATATCTTTGTCTGGGAATAATAATAATAATAATAATGATCCTTGCATTTGATATAGAGCCTTATCACATCATTGAGACATCTCAAAGAACTTCGCAGAATATATTGGAAAGTGGATTGACTGTGTATTTGTGGGCAATTGCACACAGCAGTATCTCACAAACAGTTGTGGATTGAGTGATCAATTACATTTTTTTGGAGGAAAGAGACTATTACCCCTGGAATGCAATCCACCAATTGACTAACAACCGGCTTCCCACTTACTGCTAGATAGATAGAAGCGTGTGGAGTAAGGAAACTTGCCCAAGTTTTTGCCCTGCCCCGGATTTGAACCCGGGTCCTTACACTTGGAGCATCGTGGTTAGCGCTAGGTATGTTTTATTACCTTCAGAAGCCATGCTAACCAGCTACACTTCATTATCTTGCATATATTATTATACATACTTCCAGCTTTGTCTTATCCCACGCAGCTGCTCTGAACAGGCCATGGTAGTTTGCACACAATTCATGGGGGTCAATAAAACTTTATTAGACATCACATTTGACCAGACCAAGCAAATGCCGAAGGCAAAAGTGCAGAAAGAAAATTGTTAGGAGATAGATAAAACTTGCCTGCACAAATATTATATGAGGCGTACATGAAAGTCTCTTTCTCTGGTCAGACGAGTGTCTGACACATATGGAAACCCATCACCAGGTTTAAGAGTATCCAAACAAACTGAGAGTTTACATGAAAGGAGGCCATTCGACCCATCTAGTCCAGTATTTATACTCCACATGAGTCTCCACCCATTCCTTGCTCCCTCCAATACCCTTCTATTCTCATCTCCCTCACATGTCTCTAAGTTCTATACCCCTCACCTATCCAGCCTATATGACTGCACCACATGGGATACACGTGCATTGATCCATCTGAAGATTTATGAATGCTTTTTTTTTATTGAAACAGGAATACTGATGGTCAAGATTGTAGCGCTGTGCAACTGACTAGAAGGAATGACTTAAACCTGAATCTAACCAGCTTGGCCATCAGTGTTAAGTGCTTTGATACATATTCCCAATGTGAAAAGTTCCATATAAATATGAATTGTATTATAATGTTTCTAACCCATCTACTTTAGGAGTCCTTGATGGTGACAATACATATCCAAAATGGAAATGTGTTCCAATTGCCCAGAACTGATATCAATCAACATTTAAAAGACTCCTATTTCATTGAGAGAAAATAATCTTAGTTTTATTTATATGTGCCACTGCTATGAATCAACGTTTCCAAGCTTTGGAATAAACCACTCTCTCGAAATGTAATTTAAAAGTCATGAAGGAGATTTATATGTCCATTTATGATGTGTGATCAAATTCAAAAAAGAATAATATTTAATTCTACATTTCTGTCATTCCTACCTTAATTAGCATAGATATGCCTGGAACTCACTTTATTCACTTGGCACTTCTGAAACAGTCACTGTATATCAAAGTAATTGATTATTTTAGAATAATTAAGTACCATGACTACAAGACTTTATGAAATTTTAATTAATCTCCCTGAAGCTGTACAGGGTTTTTGAATTATAACTCATTTCTTTTTTTTCCTGTATCCATATCTCTGTTTCTATATTTATTTGTCAAGATAAAATAATAGGATCACAGGCATTAATTAAGTCATTGGCCACAATTATTCCCCTCTCCGTCCCCAGCCATGTGTTGCAGTGTCACCATGGCATTGAAATGCCTCACCTCGCAAGTGAGAGGACCTGTGTTCGATTCCCGGGCAGGGCGAGACGTTGGGCAAGTTTCCTTATTCCACACACCTCTGTTTACCTAGCAGTAATTAGGAACCCCATTGCTAGTTGATTGGCAGATTGCTTTTCCGGGGATAATAATTCCTTCAAAATAAATAAAAAATAATTTGGTCGCCTACAACATACACAGTCAATTCACTTTACAGTATATTCTGTGAAGCGCTTTGAGACGTCTCGAAGACGTGATCAGGCGCTATATCAAATACAAGGATTACTTTTATTGTCATTATATAATTGGTCATTCACTCCATGGCTGTTGGTGGGCCATTGCTGTGTGCAATTGGCTGCTGTCTTTCGCCCACAAAATACAAAATACATAAGCAATCCACCTTATAGTATATCCTGTGAAACCCTTTGAGATATCTCAAAGACATGATAAGGCGCTATATCAAATGCAAGGATTATTATCGGTATTATTATCCCCTTGCAACTTTATTTTGCTCGGATTGTCATTATATTTTGCTATCACTGTTGCCCTTTCTGAAGTGTCTGGACTTCGATGTAACACTGATAGTAACACTATGATTTGTCTCTCTTGTGTGCAGGACTTTGGTGATGATGGCTCCCTATATATCACCAAGGTTACAATGATCCACTTGGGGAATTATACATGCCATGCTTTTGGCTATGACGAGCTCTTCCAGACCCACATCCTCCAGGTGAATGGTTAGTAAATATCATACCTGATAGTAACAAACAGCCTCCAAGAACTGTATTGCCTGTGATTATTTTACATCCTAAAGCTATGTTTTATCAATTATAAATGACAGCTTGATATTTGTGGTGGATGTCGATTCTCTTTTGAGCATTAGGAAAAATTATTGTAAAGGATGATGAAGTCAGCAAGCTGCTGTTTGAAGAGCAGAGCCACAAAACTGTATGAGTTTGGCGCGGATCGAGATTCGCAATCTGTCTGTTGATTTGCAGTAAAGGGTAATAAATTGGAGTTTGTTGATTCTGTGGCTGCAACATCAGACTCCCAACCCTTTGAATTTGAATTTGGAATGCAATCTCTATGAGTTTCGGAGTCAGAAAGTTGCGGGTTGAAGCCCCTCGTCGAGAATACCACCACAGTTCAGCTAAGTGGTTCTTGTGGAGTTCTGTAGCGTATTGGTTAGAACACTCGCCTTGCAAGCCAGAGGACCCGGGTTCAAATCCCAGCGGCCGGACGAAACCTTAAGCAAATTTCCATACTCTGTTTACCAGGAGAATTGGGTTGCAGGTAACAAATCAGGATGTTTGTTATCGCTCAACTCAAATATGATGTAAAATAATAATGTCTTTTGATTAATATTTGTGATGTTGCAGATGCTCAACGGTTTTCTGTGATACATGTAAGGACTGTTATGGGTTGCCATTAATGTTGTGTGAGATATTCATTGCATAATTCATTTTGCTTGTGTCTTTAGTTCCGCCAGTGATCAGAGTGTACCCAGAGAGCCAGGCACAGGAGCCTGGAGTGACTGCCAGCTTGAAGTGCTATGCAGACGGCATTCCCAACCCCCAAATCACTTGGCTGAAGAATGGTCTGGACATTTCTCCAAGATTCCCAAAGCAACTCACACTGTTAGGTAGTATCTGAATTCCATTGATAGTCACTGATTCGCGAAGGTTTCTAACTATGTTAAACAGCTAGCAAAAGGTTTTGAGAAGATGTGATGACACCAGATTCCAAAGTTGCTAGTAAGAAATGTATCCTTGCATTTGGTTTTGCCACAGTCTAAAGAGGACACAGACACACTAAACGTGTGTTTTGAATTGATCACTAAAAGGATCCATGATATCAGGAAGGGTATTGACTAAGTAAACCACCAATAGAAAATAATCCAAACATTGTACATCTCCCAGGTAGTAGCTCAGGAAACTATTCACATAGGCAGTGAAATAATGGTCGGTCTGAATCCATTCTAGTCTGAGTTGGGCCAAAGGGAGAATTTTCCAATGTTAATTCATATGTATCCAATTTGCAACATTTCTTCACCCAGGAGGACGAGGTGGGGGTACATTATTCCTGGTAGAAAAAATTGGAAGGGAATTAATATTTTAGGAATTTAGATCAAAATGACCTGTAAATAGACTTGTTCACGTTCCATCCATGACTTGAAATTGCAATTGCTCAATAATTTTGTATTTGAGAAATCAAATGACATGTGGGATTGGACAACGGATTAGCACACTCTGCTTTCACTTTGCATGTTTGATTGTGATGCGGATTGGTGGGATGATAATCTTTTCTCTCTCTTGACGTTAAGGGTTACAGTTCCTAGTGAATGTGGAACTAAATCGGCACTAAATTGGCAGATTCACCGAAAAAATGGTACTACATTGGCCTTAGTTAGAAAACGGTGCAGTTGGAATGCACTTCAGAGGCCGAATTTTAACTTGCGTTTACTCCCGAGAAAGAGGAAGCTTTGTTCTGCTTGTAACCCGAATTGAAAGCGCTTTACTTGCCGTTCAAAATGATTCAATTCTTGAGCACTGGCGTATTTCAACTTGGTGAGCACAAAAGGTAACAAGAATTGGAGAAACAAAATATTGGTTGGGATGGTGGATAAAAGTTTTGGAGTGCTAACCAACAGGTGCAGTGTGAAACTAGTATTCCCCAGTCTCCGACTCAGTATGTGACAATTACTATGAGATTCACGACGATGAGAAGTTCCCCCTAATCTCAAGGGAGTGGCACTAATGAGCTACTGCTGATCGATTTCCCCAAAAGATAAGGCAGGAAAATAGAATATCTCAACCGTAACTGTGTTCCTCTCAGTAGCTAGTTCTGGAATAGAAACATAGAAACAGGAGTAGGCCATTCAGCCCCCTAAGTCTGTTCTGCCATTCTATATTTTTCCCTCTGCCGATTATTTCAAATATTTTTTAGGTCTGTTGACATGGAGTTATCCTTATGTAGGAATTACTGACCGATATTATAACGCTTCAATGTTTTTATTAACTCAGAATATTTCAGCTTCAATTGCATGAGAGTGAGCGATACAGTTGAGTTTTCTTTATATTATGGGGCTCAATAATACCTCCAATCGGGACCCCAATCATATTCCTTATCCTCGTCATTTAAAAGAATAGAAAAATAATCAACAGAAATGAAATGACAGGAAAAAAACAGAAAGATTTTTAATGCTGATTTTTTGTTTAAAAAATGGTTGATTTTTGGAAGATTCCCTGGTAGCGGGCTCCACTTTCGCCCACAACTATACGGTCAATTCACTTTACAGTCTATTCTGTGAAGCGTTTGAGACGTCGAGAAGACGTGAAAAGCGCTATATCAAATGCAAGGATTTATTATTAAGTAGTGATTTGTAATGTGGAATTATTTTGTATTGTGTGTTCCCTTTTGTTTCTTATTCTTTTACATTTCTATAGCAAACGGAGGTGAAATTCACATTAAGAGTGTACGATATGAAGACACAGGAGCGTATACATGCATCGCGAAAAACGAAGCAGGGGTGGACGAGGACATCTCATCCCTTTTTGTCGAAGATTCAGCTCGAAAGACTCGTATGTCAAACACGCATTAAGCTCTTTGTTTTTTACTGAGTCTACAAAGTGTGTTTGGTATTGATCCTAGGTGAAACGTCAGCACAGACAAATGATCTGTAAGGTTTCTTTCTCTGCTAATTATAAAGAGTTTGGAGGAGTCTTAACACTGTGGGTCTGAGATTGTATCCCAGTAACCGCCAACAATTTGGTAGTGACAAAACTACTCTTTTTTCAGGAAGCCCATGAGATGGTTTTCCTCCACCGAAATAGAAACGTATCCAGTTAAATAGCACATATTTTGTTTTGCTCCCTTTCCCGAGGTGAAGGCAACCTCTTTATTATGCAAAAATCTATTTTTAACTCATAGCCAGGGTGGGATTTGATGGGATTTCTTCATTGATTGCATAAGTGATGACTCCTCTGCTATCTCATCTAAGCATTTATTCTTCATATAAGAGTCTGTACGGTGAGTGATGTCAGGCTGTTCAGCTTGAAACTGTTCCAGCTAAGCCTGATTCCGATGCTGTCATCATTAATATCCAGCACTGGCTGATATTCCCTTCCCTAGGGATACTGAATCCATTTATAATGCAACACGACCAACTTGGCTGATGTATTTGTTCACTGGGAGAGGAGATCATTGTCTCATGAAATGAATCATAAAATTAAAAAGTAAACAAACCAACCAGACTCCCATCAAGTACAATAAAGGTAACAACACCATGGTAATGACATTGACAAATATCTGGTTATTGAAAAGGGTTAATATTTCTAAGGATAAGTACATTCACCTCTACAATGATTTATTCTGCAGAGACTCTAGACACTATTGTTCCAGGAGAGCTGGAACCTCTTGTCTGACAAATCTCGTAAGCTTTTTTGAGGAGGTAACAGCCCAAATTGACTGGGAATTCATACAATGTAATATATCTAGACTTCCAAAAGGCGTTCGACAAAGTACCACATGAAATAGTCCTTCACAACTGTGGTAATGGGGAATCAAGGGCGAGTCATAGACATGGATTCAGAAATAGCTGAAAGGAAGGAAACAAAGGGTCCTTGTTAGGGGAGATAGGTCAAGATGGGGATCTTTATTAAACAAAATGTCTCAGAAATCAATGACTGGCAAAATAAATATAATAGTTAAATGCAAGGTATTACAATTAATAAGTAATACTAGGAAACACAGGTATTCCATGGATGAGTTAGAAATTGCCAAAGGAGAAGCTGGGACCCTTCCTGTTCTGTGTATGTATTAATACTTGATTAATATTAATCTGCAGACCCACTGTAAAATAATTACATCTGCAGGTGATACTAAGTTACGGGGAATCAGGGAAGGCAGCAAAGATCCAAAAGAGAGTTTGATAGGGTATGCACTTGGGCCAATAGGAACATAGGAACAGGAGTAGGCCATTCAGACCCTCAAGCCTGTTCTACCATTCTATAAGATCATGGCTGATCTGTACCTCAATTCCAATTATCCACCCATGCCCCACATCCCTTGATACTTCTACCTAACGAATATCTATCCACCTCAGTCTTGAAAATTTGACTGGACCCAACATCCACAGCCTTTTGGGGGAGAGAGTTCCAGATTTCCACTGCCCCTTTGGATGAAAAAACACCTCCTGCTTCCACTCCTAAATGCCTTAGCTCTTAGCTTAAGATTAAGCTGCCTTGTTTCACCCACAGTAAAGGGTGGGGGGGGCGGGGTAAGATTTTTTTTCCCTCCAGACCAATCTTCTGATCTTGTGAACCAGGGGATTGTCTCATTTAAAATGAACTTGGTCGGGTATTTTAGATTGATGTCCGGGAGATTATTGCACACTGTCTTTGGAGGTAAGAGAGAAATATAACTATGTTTTGTTTTCCTGAAGGCTATTTGCCTCCGTGATGATTACATCGGTGAATCAATGATAGCATAGGTTGTACATGGCCTTTTGGAAGGAGAGGGCTTGATGGACCAAATACTTTTTTCTCATTCCATATACCTTATGAGATCTCAAGTAATTCGAACCTTCTTGTTTTGAAACGCTTGCCTGGCCAACAAAAATGGCTTTCAATTTGGAGAGAAAAACAATTCTCTTTGTATTTGTAGTCGAATAGCTTGTTTGCAACAGGCCATTAGGAGAATGAATCCATGCAGACCTAGAACAGGTTAACCCAGAATTTATCAGATGTGGAAAGTGGTGCCACATTTTTTATAATGTATAAAACAATTTACCGACACAAGCAAACTTGACCACAGATGCAATACAATACATCTTTTCCAAAGATGCAATACAATACAAAATTACATTTGTCCAGCGCCTTTCACGTTGGGAGGAAGTCCCAAGGCGCTGGACAGTCAGGAATTTTGGACCCGAGCTGGGGCGGGGTGGTTGGGATCAGGGAGGGTGGAGGGCAGGGAGGGTAGGAGGGTGGCCGAAGGCGCAGTCGAAGAGGAGGGTCTTGAGACGTGCCTTGAAGGAGGCAAGGGAGGGAACGAGGCGAAGGGAATGTGGATGGAGTTTCAAAGGGTGAGGGCAGAGAAGCTGAAGGCCGGAGCCTGCTGAGCCGAGGGAGCGGAAAGGTTGATATGGGATGCTCAATTGTTCTGCAAGACGTTGAAGTAGGATACCGTTTGTTGTCAATTATCCATTCTTGGGCTCCTCCATTGAAAAGAAACATATTGCATGGTGTGGTACTGCTGTGGTCTGTTTTATAAAGCAGGAAAGTCTCAGAAATTATCATTGTTCTGTTCTACGTAACTTTATATATGCTGGGGAACATCCTGAGGCCAGCTTCCCTTCCAAGGGGTGGTGGGGTTGATGGGGGAAGCAGTTCTGATCGCTCACAAGTGATCGCTGCTGGAAATTATTGTGTATGAATGATAAGATCAGGCTTAGCATGATCCCTCCCAAATTTTTTCGTGGTCTCAGGTCAAGGTCAATGAACAAAGATACTTTGGGCGAGGTACTAATAGGCTAATCAATACCCCAAGAGTACAAGAGAAAACTAAAAGGTCTAACATTGCTGAAATGTCTTCAAGGCCCATTACTTGATGGTTAAACCCACTGATTAAGGTTTCTCTCTCTACTGACTGCTCCAAAATCATAACGAAAAACAAGGAAAATCAATTTTATTTTCATGACACAAAACAAAATCCAGAAACAATAACATTCCTCAAGAATTAAAACAAAACATATTTGTGGTTTATGTAGGGTGTAATTTCTGTAAATTGCTTTGTGGTTTCAGTGCCTGTTGTGCCCGAAGGCTTTTCATTTAATTTTAGCAACGCTGGAATTTAAATGAAAATATTTTTATAAGTTCTTCTATTACATGCTTCACTGCTTGCACATGGCCAACACAGTATTTTTCAGACAGTCATTGGGAAGGTGTCTTGAGATATGTGGTGATTTTTAATTAAAACTTAACTGGACATTCACAATAGGACCTCAATAGGTCCTTTAATCATTTAAAAATTTTGGGATTAAAAAAACACTTGTACTACTTTGGATGTTATTTGAAGCAGCAGAGTCTTTCGTCACCTCAGAGCAAAACAAGATCCAAAAACACAAGAAAAGGTTGTTGAAGAACCTTATTGCTCTATAAACAGTAAGTGGGGCATCAGGATCCCTTTTAGAAAAACAAATGGCCTTTAAAAGAAAATACTCCAAAATTCATATTAAAATAAATGTTTAGCACTGGATGGCGTTCCAGAGAGTGAGAGGAGAATGGCTGAAAGCCTGAGAACCCACCTGCGGATGCTAGGACTGTGTTTGCTGAGCAAAGGGAATAGCTTGGTATGTAGGGATGAAGGAGGTCACAGAGTTAAGATGGGCTGAGATCATAGAGGGATTTGAAGGTGGAGAACAAGCATCTTCAACTTGATCCGCGAGGTGATAGGGAACCGATTGAACTGAGGGAGTTTGGGAGTGATAGGCTTATGGAGTCTGGTACAGGAAAGGACATGGCTACAGATTCTGGAGAGTCTGCAGCTTGCGTAGATAAGAGATGAGGAGTCTGGCAAGCAAGAAAGTCTTTATGAAAATGAGTTTGGCAGATTTGAATTGCGGTAGAATGGGAGGAGCAAGTGTATGTTTTTTTGTCATAATGTATTCTACTATTTAAGTCACAATTTAATAATAATAATAATCCTTGCCAGAGATGCCACCTTGTCTTACCTTATGATGAGTATTGGTTCTTTTTAAGAACTGAGGAAATTGTGACTTCAAAATTTGAAATTAATTTAAGAATTTTCTTTAATTTTTTGTGATATTACATTTGAAGACAAAGTGGACTTATAAGCTGTTACAAACTCTGTCTCCTGAATGTGAATGATTTCTGACCGTCTGTCCTCAGCTTGGGCACACATACGAATGATATTAACACTACAGCATTCAATACCTTCTTAGAAAGAAGTTCACAGTCACAGTGTAATTCAGGGGCTATTGTAATTATGAAGACTGAATCGGTCAGTGGATTTTCCACTGAATTTTAATTAACAGAGTTTGCAGAAACTCACAGAGATGGTAGATATTACAGTGTGACTTCGATGAAAGTGCTTTTAAGAAAGAGAATGCCCGTTATAAATGGAGATGTTATTTTGGCCCTTTTTTTTGTTGCTGCAGTTTGAACTGTCTTGAGTCTCTCTCAGCTCCTGGAGCAGTCCTTCTTCCAGTCTTCTTTTGTTCCCCTCTGTCCACGCTCCCCTCTTTTCAGAGCTCACCCCTCTCAGACTCCATCGTTCCGTCTCCCCCACCCCCCCACCCAACGCTAAGCAGAAGTGTGAACACAACAAAGACAGGACATCGTTGGGAATTAGTATTATTTGCTGGAGTGTAGCTTGGGGCCTGGAGACCATTCAGCGGAGTTTCAGTTGGAGACGAGAATGGTCGTTTCTCCTGTCTGGCTTTGATCAGAGCAGAAGGTGTTTCATCCGTGAGGGCACTTGATCCGTGTTATTAATTGGTGTTTGCCGGGCCATTGAAACCAGTGTTGCGATACCCCTTTGAAAACCAAACAGCGACCATCGACACCCCCATGCTGACTGATCTCATGGTTGACTCGCTCAGCAGAGAGTCGAGCCAACAGCTCAGTTCTACGCCCCAGCGTCTAGTTCTAGTTCCTCATGTATATTTGTTGCACACCCTAAGACTTGCTGGAATTTTGATCCTCGGATCTTGGTGTTTGCAAACAAAACCCCCAAAAATCCTGAAGGTGCTGCCCCATTAATAAAATAATATTTTGGGGGGATTTGTTTTTATCTGAAGAAAAGTAATTCAAACTCCTGTGTAATACCACTGACATTGCAATACCACGCAGTAACAATAGCATTTTAATTTCCACTGGTATTTAGTTACATTGGAGTTGATGAGCTGTCTCTGTAGCTAATAAATCTCTCTCATACAGACTTGATTCCCTTTGTGCCATTAAACTGGTTCCAAACACATGAATCCAGATCTCATGCTTCAGGGCAGGATATTAATCAAACGGGGTTGGCCGATCATCTCATACCAAGTAAAATCAAAGGGAGAGTGCAACAAATTGAAGAAAATCATTAACCATAACTTTACAACTTCATACTTGCATTTTGCATATATATATATGAGTGATTTAAAAGGCTCTAATCCCATCAAAAATTTCAGATAACGTTGTCAACTGTGTGAGTGTTGGAGGTGTTGTGTACACTAAGGACAGCATCTCCAACAATGTAGCACATCGCAACCACTGCTGTGGAGCGTCCTAGCCTACATAAGTTCCAAGTCCCAACTTATGGGTTTGAACCCCAAACCTTTTGACTGAATACAATACAATATACATTTTTTGTATAGCGCCTTTCCCGTCGGGAGGACGTCCCAAGGCGCTGACTCGAAAGCAAGAGTGCTAGCAACTGATCTGGGCTGACACACAGTATTATAAGATTAGTTTGGCCCATCCGATCTCATCCTTCCAGAACAACAACAAAATTACATTTATATAGCGTCTTTCACGTTGGAAGGATGTCCCAACCCCCGGATAATTACCCAGCCGAGGATGCGGCTGATCGGCTCACAGAGCTTAGTGAAGTGAATGATAATTTTATTTATTTTTTGGTCAGTGGAGTATTTGACACATGCCACAGACATGCGTGTTACAGAAAATCAAATTTCCAGTACTGCAAGCATTTTTTCATCAGTAACCTATCTTCACGCTATGGAACTAATTTCTCCACACTTCCTCCTCTACACTAATCCTATTAGGGCTCACGGTTTAAACACACAGTTCAAACAACATGGATGAATTGAAGACTGAAGCCGTGTGATTTTTTCTGTAATGGTCCAATGCTAAATGGGGTTGGGATTGTGGGCTTTGTTGATTGAGATGTTTAAACATTATATACCAGGCACAATGTTTTCACTGACCATTAAAACTCAATTGCTGATATATTTAAACAGTAGTTGGGGGAGTTTCAAGATGGGAGTATTCATTTGTGTTGGCCAGCTATAATTATACAACCATAAGAAACGGGACATCTTCTCTCCATTCCTGTCTGATGTTCCTTCACCTAGTATTTTAGAATGGAGATTATTGCGGCCTCTAAATGTTACTTTTTTCTTGATCCCTTTTCTTCTTCAAGGCCATGTGCAAATGTATTTCACAATGACTGATCTCAATGGTATATTTAATGCAAATGTATGTCTTGAAAAATGACACAGGAGGCTCCAGACAAAGAGATGAGCTGTGTATTCTTGCCTGTTCTCTCTCGCTCTTCTGCTGACTTCCTTCTGTTCACCTGTGTTGATGTGTGGTTTACTGAGCAGAAGCCAGATCATTTCCCACAGAGAGTGGAGAGAGCCCTGAGTCTTCAGGCTGCTCACACATATCTCCTATGATCAGCTGTAAAAAAAACATTGGTAGAGGCCTGGGAGCAGGTCATCTGACCTCTTCGTCACAGTTGAAGTGAGGAGATCAGGGAATGGGAAGAAAACAGAGGGACTTAAGTCTCAAAACAAAATGGAACCGATAGACTTAGCCATAAAATAAGAGGTGTGTAAATATAACCAGTGTTGCAATCAGTCACTCTTTTATTTTCAGGAGCGTTTTGTAAATCGCAATGACATTAAGAACATAAGAATTTACTGGCGATAGAAGACCAAGGTCCATCTAGTTCGCCTTTGCCTTCCACCATCCTGGCTGTCCCTTTGACATGTCGTGTCCCAAACTATATACTGTATCCCCGGATATTATTTTACAGCAAAAATCTATCGAATTTGTTCTTAAAACAGCAATGTGGTATAAATCATATCTAGCGCATTAAGTCTAATGGTGAAAGTTTCTGATTTCAGTCAGCATTGGCAAAAAAAAATATTTAAGGCTAAGAAAAATGTCTTTCGATAATAGATATAAACAACTCGTTGCATGTGTGAATGAACTGAAATTTTGACATTTTTTTTCTTTTTTTTTAAACCATTTTCTGCTTTCTCCAATCTCTGATGCTGCAGTTGCAAACATACTGTGGCGAGAGGCAGGTACTGCAGTGCAATGTTGTGTTGTAGTGATTATGTGCTTGTCTTCTGTTTGTAGCACAACTTATTAGTTCTATCAACAGGTCCTTCTCCTTGCTGTGCCCCCAAGTCGAGGGTTCCTGTTACCTCCGAAACAGGCTGCATTATTTCCAATATCATCCAAAAATTTCTTGTTTTTATTTAACCACTATTAAAACCAAATCTGACTTAGAGTCGGTTGCATTAACTCGCTATTGTTTCCTTTTGGCGAATAGATATTAGAAGCATTCAATCGATCAATCGAACGATCAATCGAACGATCAATCAATCAATCAATCAATCAATCACCCATGTTAAAAGAGAATCTTGTGCAGTGAAGCAGTGCTTGGTGAGGGAGAGGAGTTTGTTTTCGTGTTGATTATGTGACTTCATGTGATAATCTTTTCAGACTCCCAGTTCCCTTGCGGAGACTGTGGGTAAAAAAACAACTGTTGCTAAAATGCTTGCCCAGTGCTACTCTTTGACTGGCAACGAGGAGGTGTGCTGGAGTCGAGGGCAATGCCCTTTCATTCAGCTTTCCTTCTTAAATACAGTCATCATACAGAAGTATTTTTCTGTATGTTTCTACAAAGTTAAGACTGAATTGACACTCCCAAATTCTGGGTGTTCTAAAATACTAGATCAACAGAGTAATTCGAGGTACAAGTAGAATTTCTTCCCAAGTGTGCCTCTAACTCATGGTCATTTAGAACTGAATTTTTAAATTGAACAACGGTGGTGATAGAAATCCTAGTGTCAACCGGAAGAATAATGGAATCAGTGTTTATTGTTGAAGTGCAGAGGGAACCAACATTAACAAATCGGTAATAATTAAGCAAATTTCTCAAAAAGAAGTTGCTGTTTTAATTGAACGACCCTGATAATCTCAAGCAAATTGTTTCTTTCACTTGTACCCTGAGAAGTCAAGCTGGGGTCCAGATAAATGAGCCAACAGTCCTTTGCACCTTGCCCAAATTTGCCATTCTTTTGAGCCTGAGCAGTGAGTGTCAAAGGTTTTCCAGCCATCTGGTTTCTCATCAACACAGTCTGTGTTTCTCTAAGCAATCTGGCTTCATTGAATTTCCAAATTTGCTGCCCAATTTTCTGCAATAATAATTGTTGAACTCGACAGAGAATGAGGATATTTGGGTTGACATTAATTTGGCAAAAGGATTTGTCAACCGAGTCCGAATATCACTTCCAGATTAAAATAATATTGACAAATCACGTTGGAATCAAGTCTCTGAACTACAGGGACTCACAGAATCATAGAATTATACAACACAGAAGGAGGTCATTCGGCCCATTATGTCTGTGCCGACTCTTTGAAAACAGCTATTCCACTCCCCCGCTCTCTCCCCATAGCCCTGCAAACTTGTCCTCCCCAAATAATTATCAACTTGTCTCTTAGAAGTTGTTATCAAATCTGCTTCCACCACCCTTTCAGGCAATGCATTCCAGATCCGAACAACTCGCTGTGTGAAAACATTTCTCCTCCCCTCCCCTCTGTTTCTTTTAACAACTATTTTAAATTGGTGTCCTCGGGTTACCGACCCACCTGCCAGTGGAAATCGTTTCATCTTGTTCAGCCTATGGAATCCCCTCATAATTTTGAAAACTTCTATTAAGTCTCCTCTTAATCTTCTCTGCTCCAAGGAGAATAATCCGAGCTTCTCTCGCCTCCCCTCATAACTGAAGACCCTCATTCCTGGTACCATCCGGGCAAATCTCCTTTGCATCCTCTCCAATGCCTTGACATCCTTCCTAAGGTGTGGCGCCCAGACCTGAACAGTCTCCGGCTGAGGCCTAACCAGTGTTTTATAAACACTCGCTGACTGACTGGGACTGATGTTATTGTGAATAGGACAATAGGAGTGACTTCTGGATTACACACCAGATATTGGGAAATTCCAGAGAGACGCATGTTTGTAAGATTTTGTCAACAAATTATTTGACAAAATATAATTATCGGCAAAAAATTAACTTCAAGGAAAATTGATTTCATGTTTAGCATACTAATCTATGAGGAAACAATCTCTATATGTTACACAAAGCTACACAATCTCAGGGGCCCTATACAATGTGATAATTAGCACTGATGATAATTAGCATGTTACAATATTCTCAATAATACTGTTTGAATATAATGTTTAACACAGTCTCAATATTACAGTGAGTGTATTATATATAATATATCATAAATATATATTATTCAACATTCAAGATAGAAAAGTACATATTGTATAATGGTCAATGTACTTTATACCCCCATCAAGATACATCTGTTGTGAACTGTAGTGTTAAAGCAATTCACTGAGGCTATCTTGAGTAGGTGGCTTTGGCAGAACATAAATTTACCCTATCAATTCAGGCCTCATAATGTAATTCAGCTCAAGAATGTTCTTTCAAACGTTTTTGTGAACATTTAACAGTCCGTCTTTAATGTTTGTAAAGAAACAATAATGCGACAATACGTTATGAATAATGCCGCACATACGGTGACAGATTACGTGCACATTAATTAAGTTCTTAGATGCTTAAAGCTAAGACCAAGTTAAGTATTCAGTCAGATCCAATTAAAGAAATAATGTTGTTAGAGCCTGTTGCGGAGGTACTAAGGAACCATTGCTGTTATACTTTGGGAATGCACTGATGGAAAATGACCCTTCTGCATTCCTCTACAGATTCACTGTATGCAATTTTTTCAAACCCTTTCTCATGCCAAGTGAAACTTGCCATAGAAAGTTGTTTAGCTGGCAAACACATCCACACAATTTTTTTTTGGAGGAGGCTGTACAATCCAATGCCTTCAAACATTGCTTTTCCTTTTTTCACGATTTTTCAAAAAAATATATATTATTTCGAGGTTTTTTTTTCAAAATGTATGTCAATGAAATGTCGTGTTTTGTCTTCAAGGGCTGAGTGTTGGAAATATGTTCTATGTTTTCTCTGACGATGGAATCGCAATAATCCAGCCAACAGGGTGTGAGATTCAAAGACAGATAAAAGCCAGCGACAAGATTGTTGCAAGCTACGTAAGTGTGAAAGTCCATATGTTTTTATTGCAGCACATATTCCAAATCTGTGTCAGTTTGGCACTGTTATTAACACTCTCACATATTAGTCAGAAGGTTGTGGGTTCAAGCACATTCCAGGGTTTTGAGCTCACAGTCTAGGCTGACATTTCAATGCCGTGCTGCGTTGTTGGAATACTTAAACGTAACTTCAAATGAGATAATCATCAACGTTCCGTCTGCCTGTTCATGTGTGTATTAAAATCCGATGTGGAACCGCTTGAAAAGAGAAGTGAGTTTCTCCCAATGTCCTGGTCAACCACCCCCTGGAGAGAATGGGTCGTTCACTTCATGATTGTCCGGGGCACATTGCCTTGCGCAAGTTGATTGCTGCTTTTGCCAACAAATGCACAGTCACTACACTTCACAGTAAAATCCTGTGGAGTACTTTTGCACGTCTCAATGCCGTGACAAGGCACGACACCGGTTGCAAGGAACATTATTATCATCGCAATATACATTATACTGTAATGTAGTCCATAAATATATATTGTTTACACAGACTATTACATAAAATGTGGAGACAGATTCTGTGTGTGTTACACTGTTAAATTCTTAGCCATTTGAAGGCAAAACAAAGTTAAGTTTTAAGGATTCTGCCACCTGGGAGAAGAAGTTCTTCCAAACCTTACCTTTTACTCCACTTGCCACAATTTTCACACTTTAAATCCCCTTACCAGTGGAAACATTCTTTCAGTATCTTAAATACCTCTATTGAAACACACCTCGAACCATCCCTGCGCCAAAGGAAAGAGTCTTGAGAGTTTTATAATTTGTGAAAAATTTACCTTCACTTTCTTCACTTAGAATGTCCCCGGAATGTACGAATCTGTCGATGCGTTTCAAAAAGAACACCTAATAACATCTCGCCTTATTCTGTAACTTCTGTGTGCTCTTATGTAATTAAGTGGATTGTGAGGCATTTAACTGTTCCTCATTTTAAGGTCAAAGCACAAGAGTTTTTTTTACACCCACATGGTGAAAAAGATTCCTAACACCCACTAGCACTTTCAGCTGATAATGTAAATGTCTGTTTAGCACAAAATATTATGAATGCGTTTGAGTCGCTTCACTTACTAAATTGCCCGAAGTGGTGATGTCATTAGATTTACATATTAAGAGAAGATAATGGATGGAAAATGTAATTTAGGAAGAGCGGAGCTCATTAATATCCATAACGCCAACTCCACTGTTGCGGATGGGATCGTACAGACAAACAGTATGCAACCATTTGAGTGGTAAATTAAAAAATAAATTCCCATGCAGCAACATAAAACATAAAACAAATAACGTTAACAGCATAATCTTTCCCATTGTTTTATAGACACAGCGGATAATGTTTCGCCCACAAAACATACAGTCGATTCACTTTGCAGTGTATTCTGTGAAGCGCTTTGAGATGTCTAGAAGACGTGATAAGGCGTTATATCAAATGCTATTTATTTTATTATTATTAATTCCCTACCAACCTGCCCGCTTCCTCCGTTCATCGGGCTGCTCCATGTCTCCCGCCCGACCCGCCCTACCATCGGTGGCCGAGCTTTCAGCCTCTCTGCCCCCACACTCTGGAACTCCATCCCACGGTCCCTTGGCCTCGCTCCCTCCCTCGCCTCCTTCAAGGCCGGTCTCAAGACTCTTCTCTTCGACCGTGCCTTCGGTCTCCCTCCCACCTCTCTGCCTTCCCTCACCCCTACACCATCCCTCCCCCACGCTCAGGCCCCGACACCTGACTGTTCAGCGCTTTGTGACGTCCTCCTGACGTGAAAGGCGCTCTCTAAATGTAATTTTGTTGTTGTTAATTACCATAAATGGATGAAAAATTCAGTGTGTGATGTGTGATAATCTCACGTTATCACTGTATTTTTACCCCAATATATTTCTTAATAAGCTGGTGTCAATATTGCAATGGGTAGACAATATGTCAGCGTCATTTTCAGAGGTGCAATTACATTATTTTAATATTTATCATATTAAATCTGATAAAAATGCAACATCAAAGTTTGAGATACAAGTGCAGCATGTTTTTTGCAATAACAACTTATCACCAAGGCAAGCAGTCGAGCTGATTTCAGAGCAGCCTATCTCTGAGTACTGCAGGAAATCAGCATATCTGATAGTACTTTACTATAATATAATATAATATAATAATAATCCTTGCATTTTGCCTTCAACTCAGTGAAACCATTGGGCGTCAGCTGACAAATGTCTAATTAGTGACATCATATCAAGGTACAAATCGTGTCTCATCGATTTATGAAGATCCATTGACATTCATTCCAAAGATGATTTAATATCAGCAGATTTTAGCGTGCCACACAGTCCTTGCATCAAGATAGGCAAACATTATAGTCATGTTCTATCACCATTTCACCGTGTATTCTTTATGCTTCAGAAAATACAGAAGCTTCCAGGCTTCTGTAGTAGCCTGGAATCTTTACGTTATCTGACACTTCTAAATATACTCAATTCTTCACTTTATCCCAGTATAGATCATGCAAGCTCTTGAAAGGTGGCTTGGATATATACAAAATGTGCCTTTATCTATAACCTTAGCATTTTTGTTTATCACCTTACAATTTATCAGCTGCCCCTTATTCCAACACAGAACCTGTATGTTTAGACTCAATTGCCTTATACTTTTATAGGGTTTCCGTCCTCTTGTTTTTTACTTTACAGTTAGATACAAAACAAAATCTGAAAGTGTAATCTGAGATGAACTGAATGCAATAAAAGTGACGTCTCGAAGATGTGATAAGGCGCTATATCAAATGCAAGGATTATTATTATCAAGTATTATAATTTTGCTTCCAATGATGAAGACTGCACTTGTCAAACATGGTCTTTCTCCTTTATAGGAAGAGATTTGTCCCAGAGGGGAAGAGGAGACTGTTCAGTGTATATGGGCTTCTGCCGTCAACATCAGAAATAAATATATCTACATCTCCCAGCCCACAAACAACCGAATCCTTATCCTTGACATCCAGAGTCAGAAAGTCTTACAGGTAACCAATGACACCTTATTTGTTGTTTTATTGCTATCAAGTGCAGTTGAGACTTGGACTGAGTGGGTATTTTGGAAAGATGAGATCAAATATGCCAAAGCAGCTTTTTCATTCAGCTTTTTGGGTTCTCTTCACCTTGCTGGCAAAAATGATTGCAAAGTTTGCCCACGGAAACAGTCACTACACTTGACAGAAATGCTCTACGAAGCACAATAATAATTAAATTCTACAAACGCAAAATACTGCCGATGCTGGAAATCTGATCACAAAAACAGAAGTCGCTGGGAACACTCAGCAGGTCAGGCAGCGTCTATGGGGAAAGGAAAGTGAGTCAACATTTCGGGTCCACAACCCTTCGTCAGAACACAATAAATTAAATTCTTTTTTGCTTATAAACCCCCTGCTTTGCGTGTTTTGCCTGACTGCAGTGCAGTTGTTTGCTTGTCTCAATGGCTGTCAATGTCTCTAAATATTTGCCTGAAAATGACCCATTTTATTAATGTTTTAGGATGTAAGGAGAAATACTGGTACATATCTTTTTTGGAAACCGGATAACTTCTTGACGAATCTTCTTCCGCAGGCTGTGTCAACGGATCCTGTCCCTGTGAAATTGCAATATGATAAGTCACACGACCAAGTTTGGGTCCTCAGCTGGGGAGATATGAAGAAAACAAATCCAACTCTACAGGTGTGTAAAAATGGAACATGTCTCGTGTGATCTGAAGATTAAGAAAAGTCGAAACCGTCGTTTTTTTAACTAATACTGTTCAGTGTTAACGAGGGAAGTTTTTAAAAAATCGAAAGTCACAGATTTTATATTTATTTTCAATTGATCTCAACAGAGAGAGAAGGCGAAGGAGGTTAAAAAAAAAGGAGTATTTTGAGCTTGGGAAGAACATGGAAATTCTTGAGCAATGTGGAAATCTAAATCAAAAGTTGGATAGGTGCAGCCTTGTGGTCACTGGTGATTTTTCTGATTGCTCTTCTCTTTGAAGGTTATTACTCAAGCAAGTGGACACAGAGATCATCATACCATCCATACACAGCCAGTTGGCAAACAGTTTGATCGAGTGAATGAATTTTTCATTCCTCCAACTAACCTCATCATCAATCACATTAGGTATGTTTATGCAACTCTTCCAGGTGGTGTAAAGTGCATCTTGTGACAAAGAAAGGGTATTGTGTCTCGGTGCCCGAATGTGAGTGCATCAATCACTGTGCCAGTATGGTCGCTTTACAACCAGTAACCTTTAACGCACCAAGTTTCAAATTTGCACTTTCTTAGGGGCAAACCTCAGTCAACATGTGAAAATCTTGAATATCAATTTGTTTCGGGGGGAAGGTGATATGATAAGATCACCAGCATTGAGGGATCCTGGGAACTGAATAGTTTCCACTTGGAATGAGAGCTGTTGGAAGCCAGTACCTAGAGTCTGTGTTCAAGATCCAGGGCTTGGTATCTATCTTGGTTGGTAACCCGCTGAAGTTTCATACTGATAGAACTGATAGAATCGCCGCTTGATGGGTGGGGATGTGCATCCAAGCTGTGGGTATGAGGTGGAAAGATGATGAATGCGCACACACATTTCATTTCATTTCATACTCAGCTCACAAGGAGTTGCACCTGCTATCTCTCTGCGTACCAATCAATGTGCTATCTAACTAGTCAGGTGGATGCCAGATGATCTAATGACTATCCTCCTGGAGAGGTGCCAAGGACGAAACGTTGGGCAAGTTTCCTCGCTCCACACGCCTCCGTTTACCCAGCAGTATGTAGGAACCTGATTGTTAGTCGATTGGCGGATCGCTTTTCCGGGGGTAATAATGCCTTCAAAACAATATAATAATAATAAATTGGTCACTCAATCAACGACTGTTTGTGGGGACGCTGCTGTGCGCAATTGGCTGCCGCGTTTCGCCCACAAAATATACAGTCAATTGACTTTACAGTAGATTCTGTGAAGCGCTTTAACACGTCTCAAAGACATGATAAGCCGCTGTATCGAATGCAGAGGTTTATTATTATTATTTTTATTATTATCTCTTTGGATTTAAGATGGTCGAAGATGACACGGATACCCTGAAGCATGGGGATAGATTTCCGCGTATGTCAGATACCCGGCTGACCAGAAAATAAAGTCCATTTTCTATAACCTGTTTCAGTATCAAATACTCCCAAATGATCACGACTGTTTGTGGGGACGCTGCTGTGTGCAATTGGCCACCGTGTCGCCACACAGTCAATTCGCTTCACAGTATATTGCGTGAAGCGCTTTGAGATGTCTCGAAGACGTGATAAGACACTATGTCAAAAGGAAGGGTTATTATTATCTACAGTATCTACAGCACGCCAAGCGCAGAGAAAACTTGCAGGTGGCGGCCATAAAAAATGGGCATTAACACCTGGCTTCAAACACGCTCAAGCATTCATCAAATTTCCATCCTGTTATCCACAGCTTGGATGCACATCACCACCCATTGAGTGGTGGTACTATCACCCCTTCGCCCCCCCCCCCCCCCACACACCTCCTCCCCATTTCCTATAATAAGAATAATCTGGCTGGCTTCTTTTAGGTTACTGATCCAGTGCCAATTCCACCTTTAATTGTAGCAGTGTGTGCAGTGGGAACTTGCCCATCGCCTAGAACCTTTGCAGCTGGCAGAGAGGTTTCACCTTCCCATCTGTTTGGGTTAGATTCAGAATAGCAGTTGACTCGATAGTACACCAGCCAGTTTTTCGCTGGTTGACAAATCTTCATTGAAATGAACGGGAACCCATTTTCGCAGATATTACTTACTCTTATCGAACCTTTGCCCTCCTATCCCATTCGCTCAAGAGCTGGAATTATTTGAAATAACCTCCTCATGATTCCCGGTTTGATATTTATTCTGTAGATTTGGATTTATTCTTCACAAGTCGGAGGCTGCGCTTCACAAGATCGATCTGGAGACTGTGGCCTACATCAAAACAATCAGCCTTAACAACTACAGCTGCATCCCACAGGCAATAGCCTACACTCATCTAGGCGGCTATTATTTTATCCACTGTCAGGCTAACAGCTTGGCCAAGTCCCAGCCGCAGATCATTGTAGACAGCGTCACGGATTCTGTGATTGGATACAATGATGAAGTGTCAGGCACACCGTACATCTCTCCTGATGGACATTACCTAGTCAGCACAGATGAGTACAAGGGGCTAATTAGAGTCCAATCTATTACCCACCAGGGAGAGATCAAGCCTGCCTTCGACATCACTACAAATTTGCAAATAGCTGACGTGACCTTTCAGCCATCGTTCACAGAAGCTAACCAGTACTACATCTACGCTAGTTCACGTGTTCAAACAGACGTTCTGTTTCTGGAACTCTCGACGGAAAAGGTGAACATCCTCAAGGGCCTAAAGGATCCCACGGAGCCAGAGGAATGGGTGTGGGACAGAAACAACAGGGTTGTTGTAGGCAGTGGTCTGTTTGGACAGCACCTTGTTACTCCATCCAAGGATTCCCTATTCATCATAGCTGCAAGACAAAACAAATTAAACTGTGAGATATCCAACATAAAAAGAGGTAATGCAATCGTGTGGGTTGGGGAAGCATGATGAGAGATAGTGGAGCTTACATATTATTTTGACCTTTTACACTCCTTTTAAGAGAACTGTACAGTTAGCATATATGCGTTTTTTACACTGAGAAGCAATCTTTAATGTACAACAACTTTGCTGAACTTACAGTGTTTTGAACATGATGAACGTGATAAGGGTGTTAGTTGCAACTATTACCTGAATAATAGAGTAACCCTTTGAGTATCAATTCTACATCTTTAAATTACTCACTGTGTCTGCCAATAAAGATAACTATTTTCTATAACTTTCCACTGTGGAGTATGATAAATGTAGCCTGAAAAATGATCAGAGCTATGTGTGCAGTACTTTTGTGATCTGTAGCGATTATACGTTCCACTTGGCTATCAATTCATCGCTTCATCCCATTAATTTTGGTATATGAGTGCTATTCTCAAAGTTCTCAAAGGGTTACAAAGCAGTTACCAGCATTATGTTATTCAACTAATTGTTGCTTAAAATATTGCCTCTTTCCCATGGGTTTTGTGAGATTCTTTTAATATGGTTTATTGGCGTAGGTCGTACAGTATCCTAAAAGTTTCAATTGTTTTCTTCTGTGATCTCATTGTAGATGGTGAGGACCCGTCTCACAATGTAGAGCCCCAAAAATGACACAAATAGAAGTCAGCAGAAGCGGTGAATTCACACAGTGTTGTATTGGTGTATTAGGTAACCCTGATGTTGCACAAGTGTTATTCAGAGATAGGGTGGAGAAAACACTTCCAGTAGGATTACCAGTGTTAAAAAAAATGCAAGATTCATTGGGGAATTTGAAAATGAAACACCGCTATTGTGCTTCGAGCTTGATTGAGATTAGCTTTTTTCTCATTAAGAGAAACTCAAAGCCTCTGTCACGTCCAAAGGAGCACTCGCCCCTCCCTCCCCAATGGAAATTATGTTAGAGAAAGCATCTTTTAACTGTGATCAAAAGGCAATAATCTACTGCTCAGCACAGAGTTTCAGGGGGACTGATTGTGGGAATCACAAGTGAAGAGCTTTGACATTCAGACCCTTTAATAACTCTGTTTTCACTTCTCTGGTGGAATGCACAGGGGGGAATCTTTAGATCTTAAATACTTGAATATTTGCTTTCCAAATGACTAGATTCTGACCTGTTCTAAGCACCTGCAGTCAGATGCTACTTTGTGAATATATGACTCCTTCTCCATTTTATCTGTCACATATTCTCAGTACAAATTGTTAAGACAGATCCTATTTCGGAAAGCCTGGAGGCATTCTTTATGCAGGCTGTTAAGAATACTGAATTGATATTTCATCTTGAGTGCAGCATTAAAATTGAAATTTCAATTCAGAACCTTTAAAATATTGTGCATTACTAAGTGACATTCATCTTTCTAGGATTATTATGGGTTTGATAAAGGTGACTGACTTTATAAGGGCCATAACTTTAAGTGGCAGTGTGATATTTCTTGCAGCATGATGACATTTTTCATTGTGTTTTATGTCTTGTTGTGCGTTTAGAAGACAATAAGCGAAAGCTTTTCTCCCAAGTTAACTTCAGAGGTAATGATGCTCCTGTTTGCACTTGCACCCATCGAAAACCAGAGTGTCATTATGACGAGCTTCAGCGCTCTTATTGACTGAGTTGAGCTTTTTTAACACAGGGGTGAGGTTTAAAGTGGAACCTGGGGCTCATTTTTTGTGAACCGCGTACAAGATGGATGAGTGCTTCCTAAAGAGTAAACCATTGCAGCGATTGATTCCGAAAGTGCAACAAACTAGCGTAATGATCCCAATATCCACAAACAGTTCGAGAGCAATTAATATATATACATAAAAAACTACAAATGTCAGTCACAGTGTCAGTTTGGTTGTCAGACTGGGATTTAGGAGGTTGAAATTGGCGGAAACAAGGAGCAACAATCATACAGTGATCTGTTCCGTACTACAACAAAAGCCCAAAGGGTAAATGGAACTGGCAGTTTTTTAATGTAACTAGTATTTCATGAATACACACTACTCGCAGTATCTTGCATTATCTCTGTGACTTAAAACCCCTAGTGTCACATACAACTCTCCAGCTCAGACCGTAGGCAGACAGTTGAGTTAAGACTAGTCTCAGTAACTCCTCACAGCAGTATAGAGTGACTAAACCGATACCTGCTATTGGATACCTGGGAATATAGGACTGGAAATAAGAAAGCTCAGGGCAGATCCTATGGAAATTTTGAAGATGCTGAGGTCCCAAAGTAAACTGATCCCAAAATAAGGTTTCACATAACCACAATGCTTACAACAGAGTGGCAAGGAATCATGCTCAGGATAAGTCAGGTGAACAGAACAGTTTAGACAACAAGCTGCAGGTTATTCAGAATTCTGCAGCCTGTATCCTCTCCTACACCAGGCTCTGTGACCCTATCAACCCCGCCTGCCCGACACCCCGGGGGATAGCACATTATTTGTTAGGAGACCAATAACAACGACCGCAACAACTTATATTTGTATTAGCGCCGTTCACGTCAGGAGGGGTGGAGGGCAGGGAGGTTAGGGGTAGGAGGGTGGCCAAAGGCACAGTCGCAGAGGAAGGTCTTGAGACGTGCCTTGAAGGAGGCAAGGGAGGGAGCAGGGTGACAAAATGCAGATCAGATCAGACCAGAGCTCTCCTGCTCTCCCAAATAAGACGTCCCGACGACGTGATAAGGCGTTGTATCAAATGTAAAGATTATTATTATGATGATTATTATAAATCCGCACCCGTTTTTAGGGATCGATCACCCGCACAGCAGTAGTTTTTTTCAAATCGCTTAAAGTTTTTGTGGACTTTATTTTATCGAACATTGACACAGTCAAACAAAAGGCCACGAGCCCAGTTCTCTTTCGTGATAGTAGATGCTGGTAATACTGGTAATCAGAATCCTGGCTGGGTACCCCTTGCTCCTCTGCATCCTTAATGTTCGCTGTGTCCACCACGCCCTCTCCCGTGGTGACCTCCACCTCCTTCGCAATGGCCCTTGCATCCCGTGTGTCCCTTGCATCCTCTTCCTCCTCTTCCTCTATGTCGATTGTGACAGGAGTGGCCTCTTCTGCTCATGGTTAAGCATGAGGTTAAGTAGCTAGCTTTCCCACTTGCCCACGTCTTGATTTTTATATATAGGCTAGAATTGGTGGCCAAAGTTGATCCGTGATTAGCTAATGCAGTTTCACAGACATGCTATTCTGCACAAAGAACGTTTTTCCGGGGATAATAAGCCCTTCAAAAAAAAATTTACGATAATTTGGTCACTCATCCCTGACTGTTTGTGGGACACTGCTGTGCATAATTGGCTGCCGTGTTTTGACCACAAAATATACAGTCAACTCACTTTACAGTATATTCCATGAAGCGCTTTGAGACATCTCAAAGACGTGATAATGCACTATATCAAATGCAAGGATTATTATTAGTAGTAATAGTAGTAGTATTATGTCAGTGTAGTTCACGCAGATTAATTCAAGAACCTCAGACCCTTATTCAGTACTCCTTCGTAGTGCAATCCTATATTACTCACACCAAATCCCGTTAAAACTTATTTTTTGATTAACTTCAAGTGTAACAGTGAAAAACCCTGGTAATATGCCTGTGGACATTCTGAATTATCATTTCAAACTTGGAGGTGCTGTGATGTAAAAATAATTGTGTTTTACTGTCCCCCTCCTCCCACCAGCAAAATCTTTGAACCCCCAAATTGTCTCTTCGTGTGGAACAGAAACTCACAGCAATCGGAGCTCCCACCAGCCTGGGTAAAGTCTTAAGTGCCCAAGATAGCAAAGACTGAGATCGAAACTCATTACTGTGAATCAAAGAAATTTCATATAAACCTGTCAAGATCTATAGATTTATATGATTTCATTTGAGTCAGTGAACTATGAAGATTTCTGAGCAAACTATTGATTCTCTTCACTCTTCACGCGGAGATAAACATATAGCTAAGTTTGAAAGGTACTATCGCATTGATGGATTTTTATAGGCTGTTTATTCTAAACAAAAATGTGATTAGAACGGTGATTCTTTGAAGGCTGGTGAATTCAGCAGGCAGGAACATTTTATTCTTTGCAGGACCATAAATGTGACTGGAGGACTTGGGTTTGATTCCCGGGCGGGGCGAAACCTTAGTCAGGTTTTCTTGCTCCACACGCTTTTAGTTACCCAGCCGTAAATTGATTGGCAAATCGCTTTCTGGGGGTAATAATTAATAAATAAATACAGAAAGGAAATATATAATAAGTTCTGTTAAGTGTAGTGGCTTTGTAAGTAAACTCAACTAGAATTCTGTGCACATAAAAGTCACACAAACCGCCAAAATAATAATACAAATAATTACCCTTAATTGCCATATAGCACCTGTAATATTGTAACAGCTCAATGTACTTCACAGAATATTATGAAAAGCGCAGTAACTGTGTATTTGTAGGCTACCATGGCAGCCAATTTGCACACAATAGTGTTCTTGCCCCTGTTCTTGCTCGGCTTCACTGGCTCTACATCCCTCAGAGATCGAATACAAAACCTTCGTTCTCACCTTCACAGCTCTCGGCGGCCTTTCTCCTCCTGCCTCTCCGACCCCCTAACCCCATATCAGCCGATCTCTCCCTCTGCTCGGTGGCCACCGGCCTGCTTCAGGTCCCCTGCACTTCCTCCCCTGCACAATTGGCGGTCGAGCATTCAGCATCCCTGCCCCCATTCTCTGGAACTCTTATTCGGCAATCCCTCCACCTCACCCCATCTCTTGCCTCCTTTCAAGTCCTGTCTAAAGTCCTTCCTCTTTGACTGTGCCTTCGGCCACCCTCCCACCCCGACCCTCTTGCCCTCCACACCTCCTGACCCCAACTCCCAGCCTGGGTCCAAAATACCCTGACTGTTCAGTGCCCTGGGACGTCTTTCCGATGTGAAGGGTACTGTACAAGTGTAATTTTTTTGTTGTTGTCACTGCAAACAGGCTTGAGGTGAATGACCAATTTTATCTGCGGGATTATTGGTCAGAAGAAACTCTCTTCTGTTTTCAAATAGTGTCAATAGGATGTTTAATAACCA